TGCCTTCCTGACTAATGTGTGGATGCCTTAATTATCCTTTCTTGTTCATATACACCACCTCTTAAATTGAGGTTCCAGCCAGGCCTACCAAACACTACATGCCCTCGAGTGAAGGCAAGGTCTGCCAGAAGCAAGAAATGATGATTGTCAAGCTTAAGGACTCTTTTTGTCCAGGAGTTTTCACAGCCTGCCTATCCCTAATCTCCACCATTCAATGTATCTTCAAAGGTTATCAGAATTAGGAAAACATCAATTTGCTCATTATCGACTTTTCAGCTGTGAGACCAAGAGTGTCTTTTAGCAGCCTTGATAAATTAAATCTGACCACCTCTCTCCCAGACTGCGAGGCTCCGACACCATTGATGGAGAAGCCGTGGGAGGACCAGCTCTCGCAGCCGCTTCTGTAATGAAGTGCATTGTACTCACGGCCATTAGCAGGTGGAGAATTTGAAGTACGGGTAGATTACAGAGACGCCTCCTTTAAAAATGCATAAGCACTTTGTGAGTTTGCTAAGTCATGCCTCACTCAGCTGGCCTTGAATTTTTCATGGAGGAGGCATCTCTCATAGGCTTTCCTCTCCTACTTATTACCATTAAGGCTCTGTGAAGCTGGGGCACCTCAGTCATACCATCTGCCTGATTGGTTCTTGATGTGGCAGAGGTGTAAACTATTGAAAGATTTGGATGTATATTTGGAAAGCTGATTTTCTCATTTTCCTTGCATTTAATTTAAAACACAAAGTTCTCCCTGTCCTGCAGTTTCAAGTGAATTTGTATTCTGGATGACTCACCTACATGTTAACTTTTAAGCACTACACTGGAAGACTCCATCCTTCCAGAACTATATCTGGTCACATAGTACCTGCCTTATACTCTTTGTGCTTGTCATTAGTATCCCTTTCAATGCCAAGTCAGGCATTACCAGATACTCAGTTAGCATTTTTCTACTGTGTCCAGCTGTGGCTACAGTGTCCTTTCTAATGAGACACTTAGGCCATCAATAAATATTGATTGTACAGTACATTTGTAGCAGAATCATCATTATATCAGTAAAATTTCTATTTGGGATGTTCATGGAGATTGAGGTCTGACTTGCAGTATTAACCAATATATTTGAATGAATGGAGTATATCCGAAATTGTCACAGAAGCCCTCAAACTCAGAAATGAGTTCTAGAACAAAGCAAAGTGGCATTGTAGAACTTTAGGTCCAGCAATTAATTAATAATCCTTCACAGGGCAATGGGTTTTCTTCTCTTTCACATACCCTTAAGTAAGGCTTTTCTCTGGAAGAGATGATTTTCTCCCCATATCCGACTCATCAGTTCTAACCTGCTTCCTTGCTAAATTCAAAGATTCCAACCAGTGCTGAAACCTCACAGATTAGAAGTGAGCACTGGTGTATTTGTGATTCTGCTCCTCTCCATTATCGGGAAGATCCTAGAATACTTTCTGCTGCAGAGTTGACTTTGCATGGGTCTTTCATGGTTTCTTAACATTTGTGAGCATGCCTCAGAGGGACCGCAAGGGCAAGGGGCCTTGTGCTTGCAGCCCCTTCTGCTGAGTCTCAGTCCTCTTCTCCAGTTACATTCTTGGGAGGAGAGTGGTTGGACACAGTGCTTCCAAGAAAAAGGTAGTGGACTTCTCTGTTCTACATGACTATTTTCAAATTTCATACTGGCTCTGTTTGGATTGTATTAATCCCATCTGCTTCCTTGATTTCAAAACAGTATAAAGACTTCAGGAGCCATTTTATAAATTGGCTTGCCAAAGTGGTAAAATATTCAAATGTTCTTGCGAGATATAAATGTGTTCGTAGTGACAAGCTACATTAAAATTAAGTTGTTCAATTTCCTTGTAAGAGTGATAGTACCCGGACTGAATGGAAGGTAATAATTCTATGTGCCTGGAAGCTGGAGAACCCAGATGGCACTGAAATGCAGGATTGTCCTTGCAGCTTTGGGAAACAAGCTTCAGCAGTGCCAGGTCCCTCGCGTGCCATGCACTGCAAGGGTGCACATGAATGCACAGGGATTGACCACATATGGGTTTGGGTGCTGCTTAAGAAGATTCAGATTTCCTTTGGAACTTGGTGACTGGGGGGACTTCCCTGGGGAAGACAATTTCTGGGCAGGAACATATGGTTTCTATTGACTCAGTGGGGTTGCTTGTTCAAGTGTTTTGTTACCTTGTTTTATGGTAATAGACAAGTATGTTCCAAATAATGTGTGTGTGTATGTGTGTGTGCTCCCTGCCTCTTTCCTGTATTTCCCTTCCTTATCCTCCTATTCCTTTCTTTCCTCTTCTTTTTCTCAATGCTAAATTTAATTTCTAAACATTCTCCAGTGAACCAGGTTAGATAAACTCTGCTCTGAAGTGATTACTTTTATTTAGTCCAATTCAATGGAATTACCCCACTGTGAGTTGTATTAGTGAAGAATAACTCCAGTGTCCAGCAGCTGAGGCAGCTTCTGCCCACGAGACCTGAGAACTGTTGTCCTCAGTTCCCTGGCAGACGGAAAGCCCTCGATATTGCAAGTATTTCTAAGCACAAGCAGTTTTGCTGTCACGCAGAAGGTATTTATTTGTAATAACTGAGAATGGCTATGGCATTGCTGCTATTATGATTCCTTTTGGCTAATTGGATTGCTGCATTTAATTTAATAGCTATATAAGCACAATGATTACTCAGTCATATGTTAGAAAGTGAATGGACTGCATGAGTGTGTAAAAGTTAGGGATTCTGGGGCTGTGATTTAGAGAAAAATATTTTTATTTCCTCTCAAAAAAAAAGTCTACTTGTCATGTGCGAAAATCATTTATACATGTGAAATATAGACATTACGTAGGAAGTCAAGGGATGACTCTTTTTTCATAGGTTCATTTCTTGGACCATATTAGAAATGGCAATGAATGAGATTTTTGAGAATGATAACTATTGTTTATTAGAATAAGTCATAGAAAAATCAAAACTGGATTTAAAAAATCGTAGAAAATATTTCATTACCTTTCTACTATATTAATAATCTATAATGTATTATACATAAGAATAAGGAAATTGGTCTTCCTTCATATTTTTATGGCATCAGTGAAGTTGGTGAATTGAAATGCCCAGCTATACCAGGCTTTCTCTTTTGGACCACCAGCCAGCTCCCAAATCACGACATAGAGACTTCTTATTTGTTATGAAAGCTTGGTTTAGGATAGGCTCATTTCTGGGTAGTTCTTTTAACTTAAATTAACCTGTTTCTCTTTATCTATTTTGCCTTGGGGTGTATTTTCTTTCCTTTGTATATCTTATCTTCACTATTTCTCTGGCTGGCTAGTTGGTGGCTGCCTGACTTCTCGCCCTGGGCATGTCCCTCTCTTTCCCCCTCGTTCTTTTCCCTTCTCTCCTTCTCCTGAGGCTAGAGCCTTGATTCTTCCTCCTATTTAGTCTCTCTCCCTGCCAGTGCCTTCTATCCCTCTCTCTGCCTAACTAGTGGCAGTTCAGCTCTTTATTAGATCAATCAGGTGCCTTAGGCAGGCAAGGTGAAACAGATCCAACACATCTTTACATAATTAAACACACATCCTTTCATCTGTAAACAAATGCAGCATGAATAATTATAACACACCTTTACACAGTTTAAGTAATATTCTGCAGTATAACCAAATGTAACACATCTTTGTCTAGTTAAAGTAATATTCCAAAGCACCCAGCCTGTAATAAATAATCAGTGAATAGAATGACTCCAGGAGCCTTGGGGCTACTCGGAGACTGGAAGGCTAGCCACTATAACTTAGGCTTGAGAAAGTTCTTTTGTGCCATGATTGGGGATTTTTCAAAGTTTATGGAGCCACCAACTGTGTATCTGAAAAATTGCTCTGCCTCCAAGCTGTTGAACTTACTTTTAAGAGTCAACACTCAGGGGATAGAGACAGACGCTCTCATATTGGCTTAAACTAAGAATAAAATTTATGGATCTTACAACATGTCTACTGACAAGACTAACTTCAGGCACGGCTTGATCCAGCTACTTTGAAGTTCTTTGATAAGATGCTTTGTATTATTGAGTTTCTTTGCTATACCCTGCGTGATTGCTTAGACCTACAACAATGAACTTTTCACCATGTCTATGTTGGGAAGATAGTGATTTAGAAGCTGCTGGGACAGCTTCAGTTACTTACAGCTACAGTTGTACCTGTGACGAGGCAAACATTTTTAAGAGAGATGTACAGGGATGTCAGAGAAATTCACACTTGAACAGTAGTCTGAGAAGCAAGAATTTTACAGACAGAAGATTTGTTTAAGGAAGCAGTTAATTGGCTTGGTTGTAACACTTGGGACATCTGTATTCAAATCCCAGCTCTTCCACGAGCTATTCAAATCATGACACATCTGTTAAGCTGTCTGGGTCTTAGTGTTTCCACGCATGTAACTGCTAAGTGGAGCTCTTCTGTTCCTAGGATGATGGAAAACCAATGAGATGCTGGGGCTGGCCAGAGCCCTCGTCACTAGCCGATGCATTTCCCCTCATATGGATAGCCTCTTACTGCATCCTGGCTGCTACAGGTGGAGCTTTAGCTGAGGGTTCAATGCTACCCACGGTAAAATTGGCACACATTTTCTGAGATTACTGTATGCCACCTACTCCATTCTGCTTGTCTCATCTAAGCCACCCCCAAGACTGCAGCTACTAAGAAAGTTATTATCCTGGTTTTACGGCTGGTAGAACTGAAGCCTTAAAAATTTGAATCTGTCAGGTACCCAGGACTGATAAATTCCTGGGTATGTCTACCTAGGGCTCTTGAGTGCACTGTTGGTGCACTTCAGCATGTATTATAGTAGATTCACAGTCTTCTATTAGTAATTGATGTCCCTTTGATGACTTAGTTTCTGGATGATGCTATTGTATTATATTGTATTGTATACCTGTATTCTCTGAACACTAACGTGTTCGTCTTCTGCATCACCCTGAGTTTCTGGCACTCATTTGTGGGTCTGTGTTTCCCTTCCAGGTGAGCCTTCCAGGTGGTCCTCCTCTCATTGTGATTGCTGCTGCAAGAATGGTAAGGGAGACAAAGGGGAGAGCGGCACCTCCTGCAATGACCTCTCCACTTCCAGCTGCGACAGCCAGTCAGAGGCCAGCTCTCCCCAGGAGACGGTGATCTGCGGTCCTGTAACGCGCCAGAGCAACATCCAGACCCTGGACAGGCCCATTAAGAAGGGCCCCGTGCAGCTGATCCAGCAGTCAGAGATGAGGCGAAAAAGTGACCTGCTCAGGACTCTGACGTCAGGCTCCAGGGAGTCGAACATAAGCAGCAAAAAGAAAGCTGCGAAGGAAAAGCTCTCCATCGAAGAAGAGCTGGAGAAGTGCATCCAGGATTTCCTGAAGATAAAGATTCCAGATCGCTTCCCTGAGAGAAAACATCCTTGGCAGTCTGAACTTTTACGGAAGTATCATCTATAGGGGAGGACTGGGGGTAGTCGCCACTCTGAAATCAATCTCCCCAAAGGAGCACATATGTTAAAGGAAAAGTATCAACTAACGATCCACATTTGTTAGAACACAATAGTCCGTTGATGTACTACTGCCTACTTTAACTAGCTCACCTTAATGTGTAAATCCACAGGGTAGATTCCTTTTCAGACGTGGAACCAGAAGCGAGCTCCTGTGTTGTCCTTTGTCTTTTATTAACTTGATCCCATGTGCTGGGAATCTTCCCTACAGTGAAAGCTGTAGCTGAGTAGCTCACAGGCTTTAGGGCTCATGTACCCCAAACCGGATTTTTTATGTTTGTTTTCCTCTCATATTCTGCCTCCTTCCTTTGGCTAAGGATGGGGAAAGAGTCAAGATTTTTATTATTTTTTCTTCGCTTTTGTTGATGGGGTGAAGGGAGAATGGTGGATTTGTGTGATTTTTCACTTAGATCTCCACGTGCCAGTTTCTATTGACTCCGTATGCATGAGCACTTGTGCACCACAAGCACAATCTATGTCTGTATATATGCACAATGGATGCACATGACCCAGGGCCTGGACAGCCAAGGACTGACATCCTGCTTCCAGATGCCCCCACAAGAGCATTCAGACAAAGGAACCTCTGCCTCTTCATTAAGACCCTCCTGGGTAGATTTCCCAGCCTCCCTTCACAATGCTTTCTAACGCTGATTAGCCCCCCCCCCCATCATCAATAAATTCTCTTTCTTATTTTGAAATACATACCCCCAGGCTCCTGTGCACTGCTGTGCTCTTTCCCCACGTTAGGAGACAGTGGGATGAGCTAGTGGAACACTGTGTGTGTTTAACCAACAAGCAGATATTCACATCCACAAACATAGCTTTGAGATGCACTCAGCCTTCTCCATTCTTAATTGACAATCCCCATTCTCCACCTGACGCGGAGTTCTAACTTGCCCACATATTATTGATGAGGCCTTTTGTTCAGGCAAGTTCTTTGCATCCCTATGAGTTGTGAAGCTAGGAACAACACCCAATAATTAAAGATGCATCCAGCCTTCGGTTTGCTTGCTTTAGAGGATCTGTACCCCCACATGCTTCTTAATTTCTCATATGAACTTTAAACTACCCCTGTACATTATTGCTTGCTTGTAGACAGGCTTGGTTGCCTTTGGGATCCTAGGGTTTGGCTGTGGCCACACTATGGTTTAGTCATACCATTTCTGTCATGTCTGTAAGGACCCACGTGGGTGGCTGGAACACAAAAGTAATGAATTTGACTTTTTAAGCTTTTTTAAAAAATATATTCCTGACCTGTATAGATACAGTCCAAAAGAAATTGTTAACAATGTCTACCCACATGCCTCTTGTCTTCTATTAATCTTCCAATAGTTCTTTTGTTCACTTGTGCTAAATGAATGTCCAAAGACAACTTTTAATTTTCAGCATTTATCACACATCTTAGTGGTAACTGAAAAATGATTTGTCACTATAATGTGCCAAGCATTCCTAATTTTTTGGTGTGTGTGTGTGTGTGTGTGTGTGTGTGTGTGTACGTATGCGTGTGTGCGTGCTCACATGTGTGTAGTTAGCACAAGTAATAAAGACAACCAGATAGTGTCTATGGAAGAAAAAATATCTAATGACCAGTTTCTTTGTTTTAAGAAAACTTTTTAAAAGGTACAACTATTATTTAAATATTTCCTCATTGATTTATTGATGTCTGTTAGTATATGGTTGTCTTTCTGAATTTTTTGTAATTCTTGACTACACAGGTGGGTAATAGGATAAGGCAATGTTTTCTTGTCCTGATGCTTCAGATAAAGTTTAAAATTTTATTTAAGTGAAAAAGAAAGTTTCCTTGGGGTGCTGAATTGCCAGGAAAATTATCATTTCTGAAAGTATTGTTTTGTGTATTAATATTTTAGCAGATAGTTCATAGATAGCTTTGTGTGTGAACCCTACTAATGCATCTTCATTGTCTCTGTCTTTTGATGGTAAATCAAAGATACCATCACAGTAACTATGGAAGATACTGGGAAGCATTATGGATTTTAATGGGTCAGAAGAATCTGGATGTGAATTGTGGACCGGATGATCATTGACTCACTGAAAGGGCTGTCAGAGAATCTGAGGTTTGAATAAACTGGCCAAAGTCCTTTCTCTTAAATTTGAGCACTTAATCATAATGGTGTCAAGAAAGAGAGGCACTCAAGAACTGGGCTGGCCATCAACCCACAGATACTGCTACAATCTTCACAGAAGAAATGAAACGTCTTACCCACAGTCTTAGAGCAACTGCAGGCTATACTATTAAGGCATTTTTTTTTTTCTTCACGGGTACTGTTTGTGCCCACAGTGAACAAGCTTAGTGGTAGAGATCTGTTGAAAAACAGCATATCACTTTCATTTGGGGCTCCCTGTAATGTGACACCTGCCCCATGGTAAAATGTTTAAACAGAAAAGACAAAAAAGCCTGACATCCACTTGTGAGGGTATGGATATGTTCAGAAATCTAGCCCAAGTCAGTAGAAGACTTTGAGGAGGCGCCAAGAACATAAAGTCTTAGGTTCCCATGGCAAGGAGATATTCCGTGTACTCCTTACAGTCTTCAACACACTGGAAAGGATCTCTGGCTAAGTGAGCCCTGAGATTAAGCACTATGCTATCCCTGGCTTCAGAGTACTAAGTACAATTATGGACAGAGCAATATATGTACAGTTCAGTTCTTGAATGTGGATTTTGACAGGAGCTGTCCATTGTTGCTATGAAGAAATGAATATCACTGGATGGTCAAATGAACTTGCCATGTATAGAGACTTAGTTTGGGATGCTGTCTCTGAAATCCTATAAGGTTAAATCCAATAAATTTGGGCAGATCATTCCCTAAATGGATATGAGTCTCCTGAAGTCAGGGATATATTTATAAAGTCCTCCTACCTACTATTAAGAAGGGAACAAAAATACAAATAACAGAAGGAAAGGAAAACACAAATGTTAACATACTATAATGACCTCTTCTGTGGTTTTGTTTGCTTGTTTTGAGACAGTGTTTCTCTGTAGCTTTGGAGCCTGTCCCGGAACTAGCTCTTGTAGACCAGGCAGGCCTCAAACTCACAGAACTCCACCTGCCTCTGCCCCCTGAGTGCTGGAATTAAAGGCATAGTTCACTACTGCCCGCTCAGAAAAAAATGCAGTGATGTATAGTTATGAGTGATCCTGTGAAGTGGCTTCCAAACTACGCTGTGTTGTATCCCTTTGCACATAAGCACAGCTACCCTGCTGGAAAAGCATGCATGCTAAGCTTCTAGAAGGGAGGAGGAGTGCAATGACAAACATGCCCCATAGTGGAATGCCTATTCCAGCTGACTCATTTTGGAGCAATGCTTGATTAAAAGAGGGACCACATGGAACTTCCCATGTATCCATTGTCCTTGTTTGATTCAGAAGCATCCTTTCCCACAGATGGCAGGTGTCTGTTTATTATTCAATTGCTTAGCCACCCCTACTTATGATTTGGGGCTGTGTTTGCTTCTCCAGACCCTCCAATCCTTTGAATATCTTTTTTTCTCCTAAGCATAACATTTTCCTAGGAGGAAAAGAAATGGCAGATACAGCATTTTGAAAAATTGCTCCAGTACAGTTCCTACAAAGGAAGTCAAATTTTGACTCTTAACTTTTTTTTCTTTTTTGGCTGTCAATCTTCCAATTTGGTGTAGAGTAGAATAGACTAACCCAGAAGAGCCAAGTCTTGGTGTTTCTACCACTGGATACACTGTCACACAATTTGAGTAATGTTGGCCTTATGTTTGGTCTTTGCTAGAATTAATAAGACATTTTCTGTGAACTTATAGGATGAATTCTTTGTCATCTCTACTTGACATAACAATTTTCTAAGGAAAAATGAAGGGAATTATTTTCCCCCTGGTGACTCTGTGGCAGATAAATGTTTTTGCCAATTTGCATGCTGAGTTATAGGTTTTAGCATGGGCCATTTCTCTCTTTAATGTCTTGGTACTGTTGGCATCTTACGGTCTTGATGGCCCACTGTTCCAATTTATTTATTTTCTTTTAGAGTGTCAAAAGAACACACTAGAGAAAGAATCAGCGTGAACAGTGTGTATTTGGGATTACAATGGAGTTAGGTATCAGTGGTAAGGGACTATATAATGATGGACATCTGCGAAGAAATTAGAAGAAATGGAATATGATGGATTGAGTTTTATTTATATTGCCTTCATCATTCCAGCTCAAGAAAAAATGATTATTGTACCCTATCCTTGTGGAAAGAAGAGTCTTCAACTTCAATAGCCACAGATTTGTGATGTATTTGCTTTGAAATTTCTGTTCTTCTCATTTTGCGAAGGACATTGGAAAGGGGATTTTCCCCGAGTGACCACTGTTGCAATTTTTTTCTTTTTCTTTCTTTTTTGTGGCTCAGTAATCATCACACATTAAAACCCATTATGGCACTTTCTGAAGAGCAGATCCCCTTATGTGGACTTCGGAGTCAGCCTCATAAAACTTGAAGCAGGGCCAGGGAAGCTGAATTTTGAGCTAGTATGTTTAATAATTTTGATGGTCCAAGGGCCCCACTTTAAGAAATTGCTATTGAGGAACTAAGGCAGTCAACATGTGATTTAAAGCACATGCCATTCACTGTCACAGAAAATAAAAAGCATGTTTTAGGACTAGGCCACTAGTATTTTTTCCAAATCCATTTATATCATTTCATCTGCCTTTCAACCAAAGTCTTCTTCCCATGGTTCTATGTTTGTGCCTTTCCTTGAGTTGGAAGCCTCTGTCATCACAGCTTTGTCTCTTGGTAGATGGGCCTCCACTCCTCAGTCAGAAAGTCTGTATCATTATAGCTTTAACCCAGGTGAATGGGGAACATCTCTAAGAAAAGTGTATTTTATTAATACCCAACAGCAAATGAAATTAATGACTTTTTTGGGTCAGTTCATTTTATTACTCAGTTTGTATCAAAGGAGCCAGAAAATAATTCATAATTTAATGATTATGCTGCCCCAAAGATGGTTCCGTTGGTGAAATATATAGATAATACCAAAGCAATGTGGAATAATCAGTGAATTCAGTTGTTTTATCAGTACAATCCTAAACCACTGAATCGCTTGCTTTGTCCAGTTTGACTCAAGCAAGATATGATGCCCATGGATAATGGAGATGTTGAACCATAACATTAACCAAAAATGTAAAACAAAACTTTGTATATAAGAGTAAGCATATGAGAAAGGACAGAAGGAATTAAAAATGGTGACAACCCAACTGTAAGGACACAAAAGAAATGAAGTGCTAAAATTTTTTTTTAGTCTTTCTACCAGAAAAGATTGTTAAACCAGAGTCTCTCTCTCCCCTGTCTCTGTCTGTTTCTGTCTCTGTCTCCCTCTCTCTCATACACACATACACACATACACCACAAAGGTCAGAAGGTTACAGTGACTCACCAAGCTGACCCTAGCACATAACAGAAGAATAATTGGATAGATAACAAGTACCCTTATAGCACAAGAAACAGAATAATTAACTTGTCGTGAGCATTGATGAACATTGAAATAAATACAAAAGGAAGTGGGGAGCAGCTAATGAAGCAGATGAACTTGAACAGGTAGCTAGGATTATTTGTCAATATAAACATATGCACACAAACAACATAACTCCATCTGCTTCAGTCTGTTGCTTTCCCTCTTCTGCACACCAAGTGGGAAGATGCCTTTACTGCCCCAACTTCCTAACCTCTTAAAACAACAAATTCCTCTTCTTAGTGAACAAATTTTAAGTCCTAGAATGGCAGTCATGCTTTATTTAGGGAAACTATTTTTTTGTAAAGATAAAGAAGAACTTGTTCCCTAACCCAGCAATTATCACGTGGTTTGCTCTGGAGGAGGGTAGGGGCAATTTTCCCATTAATCAGCCTTGTAGAAGCACTTAGAGGCCAACTAGGGATTTAGTGAGTCCGGACTCTGTGATCTGCTCTGTCTTGCTTAGGTTATTCTTAGAATGAATTCCTAGCTATTACCTGGATTTGCACAATAAAAAAACAACAAAACTTTAGGTTCTCTCTCTATTTTTTTTATATTGGTTCTATCCATCACTAGTAGAAGCAGAACCAGAAAACTGATGTATTACAAAGTAACAAAGAGATATTGTTACAATTGCATCTGTGTGTATATGGTGTGGGTGTGCACACATATGACTTGCTTTTACATTCATGTTAGGGCAATGGCTATTGATCATTTGAGTACATAGGATAAGTCTTTGGTTAAGAAATTTAACTTATATTTAAAATTCTGAACAATAGATTACCATTTAGAATACTGACTAATTGATATTGGTCCCCTGATATTATTTTTTATTCTTGTTGTTTTTGAGACACGGTTTCTCTGTAGCATTGGTGCCTGTCCTGGAACTAAGTCTTGGAGACCAGGCTAGCCTCAAACTCACAGAGATCCGCCTGCCTCTGCCTCCCAAATGCTGGGATTAAAGGCATGTGCCACCATGTATCAGCTAGTTCCCTGATATTATTTAAACATTACACATGTCTGGAGGCGGGGGAGGTCAAACTCCCTGTCACCATGTGTAAAGTCAATGCAATCTTACATAAAAATAAACAAACAAATAGGAAAGGAACAGAATGTAGTGTCAGGAATTGAACCCAGGAACTAGGGTAGAGAAGCAAGGGCTCCAGCACTTAGCTACAATTGAAGCACAGAAGAATGCATTTGGCAGAAGCTAAATTAGAATTCGTGTTGGTCATTAACAGTTTTTCTCCATTGTGACCAGGGGTCAGTAGTTTATCTTTTCTGTGTAGACAACCATTTTTAGGAATTCTTTTGGTTTGCACAGACTGTGTTCATTTAAGGCAATTCCTGTCAACTAGGGATGATTTTGCGGCCCAGCAGTCTTTGGCAATAAATACCTGCAGATGTCTTTGGCTATCGTGATGGAGGGGTGCTGCAGAAATCCAGTGAGTAGAGATGAGGGTCATCACCAAAACTCCTCCAGTGCCCAAGAAAGACCCTCACAGCAAAGAATGTTCATTCAAAAATCTAAATCCTGCCTAAAAGAAGAAACTTAACTAAGGAATGCTTTGCATTTATTTTTCTTTCCTTTTTGTTTTTTCTCCAATATAATATCTCTATTGATTCTTTGGGATTTCTACGATCACATTCACTTCCCATTCCTCCCCAATCCACCCTCCCATCCTTGCACCCCACTCCCCCCCAAAAAAAGAAAAAAATAAAGAAATAAAGGACTACACTAAGTCCTATTTATGCTTTCCACTCATTGGAGCATGGTCAAACTCCCAGTGGCCAGTACCTTAAAGATAACTGAGTCCTTTCCCTGCTAGAAACCATGGCTTCCTTTCTGCACCATTTCTAGAAAAAAACCTCCTTGTCAAGGCACAAGCTAAGAAAGCACAACAATCACCAACTTAAATGTATATGTATTTTATATGATGCCTGATGCAGCCATCCCTTTTTGTAGATGTGAGGGCAGAAGTTTAGAAGAAGGAATATGCCATCTTTTGGGAGGGCATGAAAGGGAATTAGCAGTCTGGGTCTTAGACAGTCGCGTAATTTCTAGATGAGTCTTTTTGTCTTCCTCACCCAATTACACTTCATAAATGTTACCAATCATGTCAACAGCTAAGTGTATTAGTTCTAAAGCATGTTGGAGCCTTTTGGGTTTTGTATGACCCTGTTGGAATGCTTTCTAAGTGATCAACAGTAGACTACAAGATCTCAGACACGAAATCAGGAAGGGGGAGGTAGTTCTCACAGTGGACCAAAGATTCCATCATTTTAAATGTTCATTGTACACTTTATGTTCTTGGGTTGAATGTCCACTCATTGAAGAGGGCACTTAGATCTTGCAAAATATGTTTCATTGTTTTACAGATTTGTACAGGGCTGGCTCTCACTCCCTGTCTTCATAGACATGACAAGCCTCAGAATCCCTGGGTGCTGAGCCTTATCTAACAGATTCACGTCAACTCTCTGAGGAAACTTTTGTGGCCTTAGATAATTTGATATCTATTTTAAATTTATCAGACCAGCATTAAAGTGATAGAGGGAAGATCCGATCACTATAACCCCATCTTACAAAAAGGAAACTAAAGACTGGAGAGTTTAAATCAATCAACCAATCAAATATTTGTTTGTGTGTGCACTCATCAAATATTGGTAGGGTGCATGTCATGTAAACATCACTGCAACGAACAACATAAGCTACTAGGAAATCCAACTTTGAATGAAGAACTTGAATTGAATCCATTTCACACAAACATGTTATTTCTGTACGTTTTCTGTATTTATCCTATATGTAAATATTAGATCATCATACTAGAATTATAAGTTCAAAAACAAGTTTTTAAATCATGCATATTAAGGACTTGTCATTTCATGTCAGAAACTCTACTTGGTATTGAATATACCTTATTTCACTAAATTCTTTAATAATCTAACAATGTATCCCCTCTCACTGCCGCTTGCCTTACAGATAAGCTCAATAAAGCTCAGAAAGAAAAAACAGCCCACAGTCCCATACAACAGTGGTAGAAACGAATTTTCTCTTGGGCTTATTGTATTCCAAAGGCTGTGGACTTAACCGTCTCATAAATAACTGCTTCTCCTTTTTATTCCGAGCTTTTATCTGTTTCTCCTTTTCTTTTAATGAGTAATGAGTAGTCAGCATGATTTCTGCCCAGCACCCATTCTAAAAGAAATGAGAGATTTTAAACCACAACTGCTATTGGACATGAATTTTCAGAGGAGACAAGGAAAAAAGGTAAATTTGGAAGGTAGTTCTCTGTTCTCTCTGCCACAGATTTTACCTTGCACTGCGAACTCTATGAGAGGCAGTCATAGGGCTCAACGGACGGCACTCTGTCTGGTCCTAAGAGATGCTCGCCCTTGGCTGGGTTCTGTACAAGGAATCCCCGAGACTGCTTGCCATGCTGTGTACAGGGCACCAGGGAAAATTTCAAAAGACGTACAACAGGTGGGTGATTGGGCCACATGTGTTACACAGATGTGTGTCCGTGTACCCTTCTGCTTTCTCATTTTGACTTTTAAGCAAATATTAGGTTCTTTTTTATTCAAGTCAGATCAAAATACAAATACATTGGCTTCCCGCATCCCA